GCCCAACCACTAGGCTACTGTGATCAGTGTCCCAGTAAATTACGATCCTATTTAATTGCAATAATATCATATTAAAGGACAAACAATTCAGATAATTAACTGTCAAAACTCGTGTCCTTCTTCGCAAGAGGGTAAGGCGATATTTACGATGTTTCTTTAACTTTTCAGTAAGTTTTTTTTTTTCAACGCAACAATTTTCCAGAGTTTGCAAAGAGATACTGCAAAAAAGTGTGTGTAAAGGGGGGGGGGGGTGTAGCCTATAAATGAATTTTTCATATATTAAAACAATTGCCAAAGACCATTCTTCACTCAAAAGAAGCTGGCAGCCCAACCTTTCCCCTAGTACTTTGGCCCTGAGATTTGCTGAAGTGAAGAATTTTTCCTCAGTTCTACTTTCAAAAAAATAATTTGATGACAATATCAATTTCAAGATACCTGATATTTGTGTTCCATAAGCGGGTTATCAAAAATGTCGGTCATATTAATCATATTGTAAACAAAAAGCTCATGGGCCATAAAACTTCCACGAGCTCACTTTTGATCTCTGAGTCAGTCTCACTTTTACCAAAGGGAATTAATAGTAGAAAAGTGAGACTGAGATCAAAAGTGAGCTCATCTAAGGTTTAGGTACCCGGAGCCAGGATTGTAGGTAGCCAATGGGGTGAGGGTGCCAGTGTATACTGTACAATAGAAAATAAAGCGATTTTTAGCAATTTTTGATTGTGTCCATTATATTGCCGGTAAATGTGTAAGAAAGGAAATCAAGGCTAATTTATCCTAGTGCCCCTTCAACATTTATGTTTGATTTTTTTAAGCTCACCTAAGCCGAAGGCTTAAGTGAGCTTTTCTAATCAAAATTTGTCCTTTGTCTGCCGTTGTTGTAACCTTTTCATATTTTCATCTTCCTCTCAAGAACCACTTGACCAATTTTAACCAAACTGCTTGCCACGTGGTATTTTTGGGTAAAGAGCATTCAAATTTGTTCAAATGAAGAACAAAGCCCTTTTCCAAGGCAAGATGATTACAAATTCGTGAAAAATTAATGACATCATTTAAAAATCTTCGTTTCAAGAATCACTGTGCTAGAAAATATGAATCTTATGTGAAATCATCCTGAGGTAGTGTAAATTCAAGTTTGTTTAGATCACGACCCCCGTAGACAGGTTGGGGTCACAATGGACGATTAAAATTTAACAGGAATACGAAAGGAAAATCTTAAAAAAATCTTCTTCTCAAGAACAGAAAAGCCATGATTTGTCCTATTTATATGGAAGCATCCTCAGGTAGCGTAAAATCAAGTTTGTTCAAATCATGACCCCCGGGGGTAGGGTGGGGCCAAAATGGATGATCAAAGTTTTACATAGGAATACAAAGGGAATATCTTTAAAAGTCTTCTTCTCAAGAACAGCAAAGACATGATTTGTCATATTTATATCAAAGCATCCTCAGGTAGTGTCAAGTTTGTTCAAATCATGACCCACGAGAATAGGTTGGGGGCCACACTGTTATATTTAAGGGGATCGACTGGGGTTTTCCATTGCGCAATACTTCGCGCATCATAGTAAAATGAAGCGTATTTATTTTTGAGGCAACTCTTTCCACATAATGAATAAAATTCAACAAAATTCAAAAATCTAATTACAATTTTATATAGATTTTATATAATTTATATAGGTAGATTGACGTAGTAATAGTGTGTTTGTGACGTTATGATAAACTGAAGTTCTTGAAGAACAAATGTTACCAAAGAAAAAGTATACAATATAAGCTCTTGAAATTTAAAACATGAAAAGTTGAGAATCTCACAATAATTTTTTTTAATTTTTTTTGTTAATATCCCTTGTATCTGTCATAATTTGTAGTTCTCCATAAAAACAGGAAAATTTCGTTAATTTTGACATTTTGAGATACACCCTCTGGAAACCAGATGGTAGAATTTGTGTTTCTTACATATGATGTACATTATTATATTACACATCACATACTATAATTTGAGCAAAAAGCCTTTGTAGTATTCGTATTATTTGCTTTGAAGTGCGAAAAATTGGCACTTTCCAAAATTATTCTTTAGTAAATGTACCTGTATTTTGAGAGTCTCTAGAAAATACCTAGACGGTAGATTTCCCTAAACCTGGCATGTACACTGAAGTCAATGTAAGTTATATATAGTATAAAATTTAAGAGTTTCTCTATTGTAGTTTTCACGCAATAAAACCCCAGTCGGCTCGGTTCAACTTTTCAATACTGAACTAATTTCTACTTTTTCCTAGCCAAAGTATTCAGGTGAGCGATGTGGCCCATGATCTCTGTTTATTTTATTTTTTTTTTTTTGTTGGGGGCGTGTCAAGAAGTTTTCGTTTGGTGCCCCCAATGAAATTGCTTCCTACGGGCCCAAAAACGAAAGAAAAAACATGCGAGATTGACATGATATGTTTTTTTAAATAAAAAAAATAATGTTCTAGGAGGAAAACATGTATTTCTACGTTTAGTAAACTGTTCGCGCACTATTTATGTGTACACGAACATAAAAGGTCGTAGCACCCCTTTCCGTCTTATTTTCATCCGCATTGCTTAATTGAAATCTTAGTTATGTTTAAGCTTTTTTTCTTACACCAAATCTACCCCAATACTACGCTTAACATTAACCTTGTATGTGACATACCAATTTATATATAAATTTAGATTCAAGTTCATTAAAAATTTACAGATCAAGATCGATATTTCTTCACATTAACATTGCCATAATATTGTCGACAACAACATAGCACGCAATCTACATAATGTAATATATTGTATAACAATGTAGACCTGAATCGAAATTGATATGACATCGTCATTATCTTGTACTGAACTAAACTGAATTTATTATCTCTTCACAATTTTACAATTGTATACAGAAATATAAATGTAAACCATGGTGACCAAAAAAAAACCCGCATGTTTAATAGCATGCACGAGTATGAGGATAGACAAATAGCACAATTATAGATACATGTATATATTCACTAGTTCGGGGAGCACATTTTGGTTATGTTTCTTATATATATGTGAGGGTGTGTGTGTGTGTGTGTAAGTGTGTGTGTGACTGGCAAAATGGGCCAGATGAGGAAAATTCACATTTTCACTTTTTCTTCTTATTTGATTTGTATAAAAGTCTAGAACAAAGATCCAAATTATATTCTAATAATTCCAGCCCTAAATGAAACTATGTCAATTTGAATGTGTCAACAATTATTGGCTTATTTTTTTTTTACCTGCAAGAATTTAGCAAACGCATTTTTTTTTTTACATTTCTAAACAAAATACTGTTATTCGTTTGTTTTATATATATATATATATATATATATATATATATATATATATATATATATATATATATATATATATATATATATATATATATATATATTCATAAGAACTTTGTAAATGAAGCATATAAAAAACATACTGCTTTGATTTCTTAGTTTAGTATATTTCAAAAGTATGTTGCCATGGTAACTCTAACAGAATCATGCTAATTAAAGATTTCTAATGATTTTTTTTAAGAGAACACTATCATACTGGTGATAATTTCATAAATAAGAAATGGATGACATATAAACATATAATATACATTTGTACAATTTTTCATATTTTCTAAAGAAATATACAAGGTATATTTTGATAGAACAATAACATACAATTTAAAAAAAAATGTATGTAAAATACACGTAATAAAAGTTATACAATGTATGCTCGAGCACAAAGTTATGTTGAAAGTTCACTGAATGGTATCCTGTTATATCAAACAGGCAATGATTTTTGTGACTGGTCTTCAGATATTAGTGATGTACATGTAGTAAGGATTACTTCTGTCTTGCATTAGCAGGCTTGCCCTATTCTTTATCTGTAAGAGTAATAACCTCAGGTTAGGGTTGCACAGGCCTTGGACAAACGGCATCTTTTGCAGCATCTGATGAGCAGAATCCACCAATACCTGGTGAATGCTGTGTCCATGCTTACTTGACTTATGAACAGCTTCTGCTATCTGGAGAAAAATAAAAAAAGTGTTTCCTTTCAATCAATATTTAAAAAACAATTTTACAACACTGAAAGGATGACTTTGACAACATGAAAATACCAATTCATTATCTGCATCTATAAATTTACCTCTGCTAAAATTCAGATATTTGAGTTTCTTCACTTTTGCTTCAATGCTCCAAAGTGCCAGTTAGGTTCAAACTGTATCTGTTTATGCAGACCTAAATTGAACAATAATATATTTGAATAGTAGAGTTAAATTTTTCATTGTTTGCAGAAAAAGTAATCATCACTGTTAAGTGATAATAATGTACTTTAAAGGAATGATATGAAAAGTTTGTCATACAGAATATCATCTCACTATAAAAGCTATAACAATGTTCTAAGCACAAGATCTTTAAGTTTTAAAGAAAATACTAGTAAGTTCTACTAAAACAGTTTCTCTACAAAGAAGGTAAATACATGTATATTTGAACTTTTGTATCTTGAACATCGATCTAAAACCCTCGGATATCTCGGAGTTTTTTATCAGTCCCATAGAGTTCGAGATAATCAGGTCTGACCAGGGGTTTAAATTTTCCTGGAAAACCCACTAGCCGAGGGGCTACTGATCAGTAAAAAATTACTAGCTCAAACTAACTAGCCAAACAACTTTTTCATGCAATATGAAAACATAACAAGTAAAAGTTTTAAAGACTGTGATGACAGAAACAAATAAACTACAATGTAGTTCTCAGTCTAATGAAACCACTCTACATAGAAAAGTGAAAGTAAACTGTTGATATTTTTTTCCATTCCGCTAGTCCGATGGACTATCATTACATTTAAATTAGCTAGCCCGAGTCTTAAAATGACTAGCCCCGGGCATCGGGCTACCATTTTTTTCAACCCCTGGTTTGACTATTTATTTTTTTTGAAACAAGTACATGTTCAAACAGTTTTTGTTTTAAAAAATCAAACGGTACCTGTCATATCTCTCCATAATCCATACCACAGTGCGGTATTGTTTCTCTTCTGCAGTTGTCTAAGTGAAATCCCCTTCTTCACCATAGTCATAGCACTTGAAATAGTAATGCTCCATTTAAACTATTATACCGTTTGTTCCCTTGCAATTTGTCTCTCCTTCTTCCACCAATTAAAATATCTTCTTTCCTGTTAAAATAATCCAAGTACATGAAATGATTTGAAAATATTTCAGTGACAAAAATTAAGTCAGCAATGTAACTTTTGTCTCGATCCTGTTGTCAAGACTTTTACTAAATAATATTTTGTCAGTGTTCAAATCTATATCAGTATTTAAGCAATTACCAATAGTTATTTATTTTGCAGCATTCTAAACTTAACATTTTTATCGATTATTGGCACCACTCAATGTTTAGATCCTCTTCACAGACAATATTGAAAAAAAAAAACTGACCTGAACATGCTGAACTTTCAGAGCACATGCCAAAAAACACAGCATTTCCTAGGTGTCCCAAAGTAAGCAGGTCCTACATGCTGGGCATGATTAGTATGTGTTGCTGGGCATAAATCCCAAGAATAATGGAACTTCCACAGACATACTGATTATGCCTAAAATTTTTTTAGAAATATTACTGCCCCAGTATATAATAAATTAAGTGTCACAATATTCATAGACACTGTCCAGATATTAATGAAACACTGTCCAGGTATTAAAGAATTTACAATGTATTTGTGTTATGTCTGATAAAAAAAAAAGACTTGACACATTGTTTAATTTATTACACGTTACTGCTTTGATCTAAATTCTGTAGAGCCATGCAAGTGTGAAAAATATGACAAAAAGCATGTTTATAATCATGATAATTTTTGATTTTTTACTCCAAAGTAAATAATTGGAGATTTCTTTAAATTTCAAGCTTAGTATCTTAATTGAACATCTCTTTTAAGTATATTTACTGCTGTGAAAATTCATAAAATAAGTATTATTTGAAATCTATAAAAGTACCTTGTCTTTTCATTTTCTTGTTTAATAAAGAATACAAGTATTTCTCTTTGCTTTCTGTACACTGCAGTCTATATCGACCCCTCTGTTCTTCAGCTAGCTGAATGTGTGCATTGTATAACTTGAGTACACCGATTTTCCTTTCCTCTAATAAACTTTCACTTTTTGAAAGTAGATTTGCAAACTCTTGACTCTTCTGACACAGATCTGTGAGATTATTTTGTGGGGACAGAGGTTAGTTAACCTTCCAAGAAGAGGTAGAGCATTGTCTGTAGCATGTCATTTTTTGGCATTCTCTGTGTAGCATAAACTAAGTGATGAAGGTTTACCAACTCTACCATGAACATGTGGAATCGAACCATCATCTAAATATTTGCTATCCCTAACATTTCTTCTCAATACAATGTAAAAACTAAAATGTTTTCCTACATAAATGCCTTGACATAGAATTCCTGAAATGGTCTTTCTTTAATCTTGTGGTTTTTGCCTCTGTATGTAAGCCTGATCTTTTATGAGCAAATCGTTGAGATTTAATTACATCTTATTATCTAGTTCTTCTCGAAACAACGTATTTTCGATATTCTAACATTTCATCATCAGTCAACTGTGACATTAAACGGTTTATCATTGAATTTGTACAACCACAAGTTTCGTTTCTAAATTAAGCCTATTTAATGTATATAAATTTTATTACGTCACAACACTTCCGGAATCATATGAGATGCGTACTTCGAGCCCGATACGTCAGTGTACTTCCATTTGTTTTCGAGAGTGGACGTGGTCGACTCTCGGTGTCAGTTTCTAGTAACTAAGATAACTACGTGGTAGTTATCATATATATATAACTACGTGGTAGTTATAATATAATTAATTTAAATATTCGTTACGAGGTAACGAAGAAAAATTCTCCAGTTTGCTGGTGAATTTTGTGACTTTGGGTTTGAGACTATAAGTGTGAAAAAATGGCGGGTGTCACGTCGGAACGGGACCGCGCCGAAAAAGAAAAAACTAAGACGAATGAATCGTCGAAACGTTCCTCTAAGAAGTCAGTTGAGAAAAAGGTTACTAATGAAGAAAGTGGAAGCTCTGTTTTGTTGGAAAATAATGAGGAACGAGTTGTTACTGGAGGTAACATTGCGACTTCATCTGTCGTTACACCTGGAATGACAGAGGTAATGAATTTATTGAAGTCTATTAAAGAAAATCAAGATAACCAAGACCGGAAGATTGAGAAAATGAATAACAGAGTTAACGATATCTATTATGGTGATATTAATGAGTTGGAAGAAGAAGAGTTGTTGATGACTCCAATAAACCAGTTGTCTGATGTTGAGGGTGATATGGATTCAGGTGAACCCCCTTGTAAAAAACGTATGGAGGACAGTGAAACGTCAAGATTTAAACAACTGGGCGTAAAGTATAAAGTTAAGGAAGATTGTGATGAAAATGTAGACGAGGAGTTGGCCTCGATGATAAATGAACTGTTCAGAGAGGGGCTAAATGATGATTACTTTAATGAACTGTTGAAAAGTATTAAAAGGCCAGAAAATTGTACAGCTTTGATTAAAACAAGAGTTAACCAAGCTTTGTGGAGTATTTTAAATCCAGAGACACGAAGTTGTGAAGCCAAATTTCAGATAATTCAATCGGCAGTGATTAAAGCCTCGGTAAGCTTAACAAAATTAGCAAATAAACTGAATGAAATGGATTCCGAGGTCATTGAAGGATTACAGAGCTTGATAACTTTGTCTACAGATGCTTTAGCCCTTCTGGGACACACGAACAAGCTGATTAATGTTAAGCGCAAGGATTTTCATAGACCTGATTTAGGTAGGGAGTACTACCATCTTAGTTCACCATCTCTACCCTTCTCAAAATTTCTATATGGAGATGATGTTGCCAAATCTGTGAAAGAAATTCAAGATGTGAATAGAATAAGTAGTAAAGTACATGGAAAATTTCACAGAGGAAATTTCCGAGCAGGGGCATTCTTTAGGGCGCGGGGACGTCCCTATGGTCGAGGAGCATTAGGAAGACCACGGAACCGAAGATCTACTAGTACTTGGGGTTGATGGTCAAACAGCTCTACCTCTACAGACAGCTCAAAAAACTCGAAAGGGGAGCGCAGCTCCAACAAATAGATAAAGAGGTAAGTGCTAAATCTAAAGCAGACATTAAAAATTTTTGTGCAGGAAGATTAAAATTTTTTTCCTCTGAATGGCAAAAGATTACAGAAGATAAGGTCATCTTAGATATTGTTGAAAATTGCCATATTGAATTTGATGAAGAAAATTAGGTTTACCATCTCAGAATAGTATACCTCATTCTGTTTTTGCAAAGTCTGAAATAGAAAAGATTAACAAGCAATTAAATGAATTTTGTGAACAAGGTATCATTAAGGAATGTGATTTTGTAGAAGGACAGTTCTTATCTCCAATTTTTACCATACCTAAGAAAGATGGAGATTTGAGAGTGATATTGAATTTAAAAGAATTGAATAAGTACATTCCTTACCATCATTTCAAGATGGATTCTTTTGAAAGTGCTATAAAATTAGTAAAGAAAAATTGTTTCATGGCATCATTAGATCTTAAACATGCTTATTATTCAGTATCAATTGCAGAGGAACAAAGAAAATATTTCCGGTTTATTTGGCTTGGAAAATTTTTTGAATTTTCCTGCTTACCAATGGGCATTGCCTGTGCTCCCAGATTGTTTACAAAGTTAATGAAACCTGTGTATTCTACTCTTAGAATTATGGGTCATTTGAATGTTGGGTATATTGATGATTCTCTTCTGATTAGTGATACATTGAAAGAATGTTCAAAAAATGTATTAGATTCAAGATGTTTGATGGAAAGACTAGGTTTGGTCATAAATGAAAAGAAGTCTGTATGTATACCATCTCAATGTATTACTTTTCTAGGAAATATTATTGACTCAGTCAAAATGATTGTCACTTTAAGTCCAAGTAGAGCAGACACTATTGTTGAGGAATGTAGGAAAGTGTGGAAAAAAGGAAGTTGTTCAATTCGTCTGCTAGCTAGAGTAATTGGTCTTATTGTGGCAAGTTTTTCTGCAGTAGAGTATGGTCCATTATTTTATAGAAATTTAGAGTTGGACAAAATAGAGGCGTTGAGGAAAAATAATGGAGATTTTGATGTCAATTTAAATTTGTCAGAAAAAGCTAAGAATGAGTTGTTTTGGTGGATAGAGAATGTTCACAGTCAGAAGAGAATCATAGATCATGAAAATCCAGACATTGTTATTACGACAGATGCTTCCACTATAGGGTGGGGAGCAGCCTGTGGTAAAAGTAGTACAGGAGGAAGATGGAATGAAGATGAAAGTAAAAATCATATTAATTATTTAGAACTTCTTGCAATATATCTGGGACTTAAATCTTTTTGTAAAGATGCTTCTGATATACATGTAAAGATAATGACAGATAATACATGTGCAAAGGCATATTTAAATAACATGGGTGGCATAAAGTCAGAAAAATTGAATAGGTTATCGCATGAAATTTGGTTTTGGTGTATGAATAGGAAAGTCTGGATTTCTGCTGATCATGTACCTGGTGAAAATAATATAGTAGATAAATTTTCTCGAGAATTTAATGACTCTTTGGAGTGGAAGCTAGACGTTGGAATTTTTGACAGAATTTCTGTTATTTTTGGACTCCCAGAGTTAGATCTGTTTGCATCTAGGCTGAACAAACAGTTGAAGCTATATTGTTCATGGAAACCTGATCCTGATGAAAAATTTATTAATGCATTTTCATTTCAATGGACAGGTTATTATTATGCTTTTCCTCCTTTCAGTCTAATCAGCAGAACATTACAGAAGGTGAGGACAGACCAAGCAAGGTGTTTGATTGTGGTTCCACTGTGGCCAACTCAGTGCTGGTATCCATTGCTAATGGATTTGTTGATAAGAACTCCAGTGATTCTTCCGAAGGGGATTCTGTCTTTACCTCACTCGAGGGAGAAACATCCACTACACAAGAAACTAACTCTAGTAATCTTTACATTTGTTGAGTATAGATGGAATTGAAAAAAGTTGCAATGTATATAAGTTGTGTTATAAAGGTCTTCTTAAACAAGATAGACCTGGGTGTCATACAAACTGTGTAGAATTGAAGGCTTATCCACCAGATCGAAGATTATGTGTGATTACTGTGTTAAAAGAATATTTGAAGAGAACAAGTATTATTAGAAAAGACTGTACTTTTTTGTTTATTAATTATGTGAAGCCTCATAACAGAATTGGTAAGGATACTATTTCAAGATGGCTTAAAACTGTTATGACCAGAGCAGGTATTGACACTAAAAAGTTTTCAAGTCATAGTGTTAGAAGTGCTGCAGTGTCCAAAGCTAAATATGCTTCTGTACCTGTTGATGACATTTTGAAAGTTGCAGGGTGAAGTAATGCTGGAACTTTTGGAAAATTTTATGATAAGAGAATTGTACAATCGCAGTTTCATTCTGCAGTGTTGAGTTGAGGTGTTTTGTTGCATTAAATTTTGCAAAAATAAAAAATTTTGTACTTCATCAGCGGGCTTGTGCATTTTTGCTTTAAAGTCTCATATGATTCCGGAAGTGTTGTGACGTAATAAAATTCCCCAATTAAACGAGAATTACCTTGGTAAAAGTCGAAGTTTGATTGGAATTTTATGAGTCACATAAACACTGAAGGGATCAGATGCCCGCCACAATGTTGTCTTGATGTAGTACCCATCCTTGAGGAAGGGATGTTTTAATGAATATCTATGGTAATTTTTATTAAATGATGTAATCTGTTTGGAAATGCACAATCCCTTCCTTTCAAGACTGACGTATCGGGCTCGAAGTACGCATCTCATCTGATCCCTTCAGTGTTTATGTGACTCATAAAATTCCAATCAAACTTCGACTTTTACCAAGGTAAGTCTCGTTTATTTGGGGAATTTATCTTTAATTAACTGTAAACCTCCTATTCATAAACGGAGTTTTACTGTTTAGTTGTACTTTCACTTTCAACATCAGTCAACTAAATTTAGCTCATTTACAAACTCTTAAACATGATAATCGCTCAATTCAGATGGAACAGGGACTTTTCTGACAGTTTGGATCATGATTTTTTCCCCAGCATTACTTTAAACTAGCTAATATCCGACAAGATTAACTCAAGTTTTGCATGCTCTCCATTCGACCTCTGTTCATTGTTGACGACACATGTCGTATGCGTATGTCGAGCCCGATTGGTTACCTACCTCATAAATGACAAATGTGACAAAATAATCGTTGATGATGTGTAATTGGGAATAATATACGAATTACACCATAAAGAAACGTATTTCGATTACTAAATTACCACAGATGAAAGGAGAAAGATCAGATATATTTTTTTTAAAAAAATGAAAAAAAATTGCGCGTTTTTAGAAAACACTTAGACTTTATGACTTTTTTTTTCCTCCGTTACGTTTTTACTGCATCTGACCCCTTTTTCCCAATCGCGGTCATATCTATGTATATATATATATATATATATATATATATATATATATATATATATATATATATATATATATATATATATATATAGAAGAGAGAATATGCCCCTATTGTAACTTAAAAGAGGTAGAAGATGAAATACATGTACATTTTCTTTTGGGTTGTACATGCCATAGTCTATCAAGAATCAATTTACTCTCCACAATATCTCTGAGATCTCATCTTTTAAATAGTTTGTCTAAAAGTAACCAATTTTTTTATGGTTAATGAACTGTGAAGATGTTGATGTGCTGTGCAATTTATGTGAATTTATAAGTCATGTGTAATTAGACAAATTCAAAGTCACATGTTGATCTTGACTTTATTTACATGTACTTTGATTTAATACTTATACTACAGTATGTTATGTTGTTAATATGCGCATGTTGTTGTATACTCTGCATTGAGCAGAAGTGGATTAATTAAAATAATAATACAATCCTTCAGCACTGGCTCTTGCTGTCCATTGCAGTTTAATATATTTTACACATGCCATTCAACATAGAATTTTTTTTTTTTTTTTAATTTTTTAATTATTATTACTATCATTATTATTGCTGTTATTATTATTAATTTTTTTTTTAGTTAATTTTTTTTAATACTACTATTTTCCATAGATTATGTATTTGTTTATTCTACATGAGGCAGAAGTGGATTTCTGTATATCCTTTAGCACCGTCTCTTGCTGCCTCTTGTTGATGTATCAGACATTTTTTATGTGTTCAGTTATATGTATAATATTAGTAATAGTAATGCACATTATTGCACATTAAGTTGTATCAATTAAGAGTACAGATATATCTTAAATCAAGACAACCTATGTCTACATATGACACTCAAAACACCACCAATGTACTAACTGGAAGAATTGCTCTTCATTATATGTTGTATTCTGTCTGTTATCTTATCTGTAATTATACATGTTATATGTTTATGCCCACTGGGCCCTGATTTGGTAATAAATCCTATTCTATTCTATTCTATTCTATTCTATATATATATATATATATATATATATATAGAGAGAGAGAGAGAGAGAGAGAGAGAGAGAGAGAGAGAGAGAGAGAGAAAGATAGATAGATACAAAGATAGATAGATAGATACATGTAGATAGATAGATAGATAGAGAGAGAGAGAGAGAGAGAGAGAGAGAGAGAGAGAGAGAGATGGATAAAATGAAATAGTAATTATAAAGTTGAGTCATTATAAGATGATTTATTTATAGGATGATTGATTTGAAAGCAACCTAAGGCCTTTTTTGCGTTTCACTAATTGTGGTAATCAAATACTGTATGTGTACTTAAAAAAAGCGGGCTTCATATTATAGCGGCCTTGGCGCGTACAACTATCAATGCGCTAATTCATGAATACCGTTAAAAACCATGTATAAATACAATATATGACGCAGACGTGTGTAGCGCTAATTCAAAATTATGCCAAACACTCAATATCCAGTGATTGCGCTAAATTTTGAATACGCAAACTTATGTACACATACAGTATATTCTTTTTAATGAAAAGATAGATGAAAATAATAAACTGATGGTCAGCTTACCACAGTTTTTCAATCTCGCGGTGAACAGGTCCGCAAAAAACAATTGTTCCGGACACCTCTCTGTCAATCTGACAAATGTTGCATCGACTGTGATATTTTCTTCATTAACATTGGAGAATGAGGAAACAGATCGTACAGTTTTACCACATTCTTGCGATCCTTCTCGTTCATGGGAAGGTTGTACCACGGTTATTGGCGTTTTTGGAAGTTCAGGTGTTTCCATTTCATCTGGGCCGTAAAAATTATGAGCACAGGTTATGAACCCAAATTCGTCATTGGATTTAACAAATCCACCAAGAGTTCCTTCTATTTGTTCACCTGCAATATTACCTTGTATTGAAACATTTGCCTTGATTAATACAGCAGTACTGTTCAAAAATCAATGTCATTATAAAATGTGATTCCTATTAAGCCAGTAGGTGCATATACTTTGTTTCTTGATATATTTGTCACCTATAATGATTACATGGAACAATAACGAAGCTCATAATTTTTCCAGCTTATCAAAGCCAATTAACTAACTCGTTTAAAAACGAGTTGTCGCAAAAAATGGCATTTTACAGTATTATATATTTGTTTGAAAACATAGAATGTTTTTAAAATAAAGAAAAATATGTTTTTCTATGTACATGTATAATTTAAATGTTTGTTTTGCTTAATCCCGGTCTAAGACAGTTAAATTTTCAGTTATTTTTAATCGAAAACACAAAATATAACATTATTTTATAATTGTTGCTGTTTGAAAATTCGTATAGGCCCCAAACTACTGCCCCATGAATCCCTAACTCAAACCATACTGTCCGATAGGTCAGGTTTTATTTTACAGGGTAAAAGCTTACATCGATTATGGGCTATACATATGCAAATTTACATGGATAATTTATACAATACCTAGAAAACTAACATACCCAATGATACAGCGTAATTCAGCTTATTTTGGTCAAACATTGACCCCTTAACCAAAGATACGATAAATACATTATATATATTTGAACTCCTAATAAATGTAAAAAGAAGTAAAACCCCTTGTGATGTAAGATGGATTGTGAATAAAGTTTGATCTAGTGTTCAGTGAGTTTGATTCCTCACGTATGATTAGACACATTATAGCATTTTTAAAATTATTGAAGCGTTAAATGCAACCGTATCTATTATTAAATTCAAAATGTTCAAACTAACCCATTTCTTTTCTTAAAAAAATCTGCAAATAAAATGATATTTCGAAAAGTAATATGAAACTAATCATTAAACTCGAATGAATAACCAAAGCAATTCTCATTACATGGCCGTAGGAACCGGGGGGGGGGGGGGCACGGGGGGTGGGGGGGGGGCGTGCCCCCCAATAATTTTGCCGATATATAGAATACTATAGAAAACATAGCTACTATATGCTTGTGCCCCCTCAAGAATAACGTCTGATGACTTTTTTTTTTTGCTTGTCAAGAAATTTTGGTAGTTGATAGTGCCCCCCCCCCCAACTGAAAATGTATTGTTGTGCCCCCTCAAAGTGAAATTGCTTCCTACGGGCCTGCATTAATTATTTTTTAATACGATATGCCAAATTTTGTAAACTGGAAAAGATCAGGAACAAGAGGCTCGGCATCATATGGCCCAGCTGTTCATCAGAAAATTTATTCACTATACATTTCTTTGTAAAACAATTATTGCCTACTTTGGCCCCACCCAAACCCCAGGGGTATGATTCAACAAAACTGAATCTACTCTATTTTTGGATGCTTCGCTATCATTATTTCTAATGACGCCTTTGCAGATCTTGAGGAAAAGATTTGTAAAGACTGATTCACATATTTGGTATGTAAAATGTTGATCGTTCACGATGGCACCACCCAACCCCTGGAGGTCATGATTTGAATAAACTTGAATCTACACTACCTGAGGATGCTTCCATATCAATATGATAACATGCATTTGCTCTAATTGAAACGAAGAATTTTAAAACATTTTTCCTATGTGTTTTCTATGTAAAACTTTGATTGCCCATCATGCCTCCACCCTACCCAGGAGGGGGGGGGGGGGGTCATGGTTTGAATATTCTTAAATCTACACTACCTGAGAATGCTTTCATATTAATATGACTAATCATGCTTTTGCAGGTCTTGAGAAGAATTTTTTAAAAGTTTTTTCTATATAATTCTCTGTAAAACATTGACCAAACTTTATGGTAACATGGATTTCAAAAACACATTTGGAAAAACTAGTTTTGGTCTTTGTCAGGATGATTTATTTGCTCTATCGTATTACAGACCAAGGGAAACTTTTTATAGTATTCTTTGCGAAGGGAAGGAAAATAGAAAGCCTATTTGCACTTCTAATATTCCGTAACTAACACAATGGCAAAATATCACTTTGATATTCTTTTACACTTTGACAATATACATTGTACCACTCTTATTCAAATAATAAATTACAGTGTTTCACTTTTGAAACAGGGACATATATACGTCCCTGTTGAAACGATTAACTGAGATGCCGTGTTGGAATGAATGTGCTGGATGTAGCATCCACAACGTAGTTGTGGGACACATTCAATACTGACCTACATCTTTCAAAAATATGTTTAAGGTAGATACTCATCAGGTCGCACCGAGCGTTTGTACGAAGGCCGTTCAAAAATTACGCAGACTCTGCTGTTACTTACTCTTACCGGCGTCAAATAGTAATAAAATTTCACAGAAACATATTTCTTAAAGATTCCAGTAAGTATTTGATAAAATATTTTGCATTTTAATTAATTTCTCCTAAAATTATTGCTGTTTTGATATCACTGATGGAATTGTACAGAGCACGACAAAAATTTTGAAAAACAAACCTGCCGAATCCAAAATTTTACTCATTTATTTTCTAAAATTTGCCATATTATTATACAATTTTCTTAAAGATATCTTTTTATTGTTCTATCATGTGTTTACATTTCTGAAATTATATTTTAAGTACTAACAGATATAGCGATTTTTCTCCGCTGCGATTCCTATGAAAACAACTGCAAAAATGACGTCTCGTGAATTGACGGAGCATCGCATTTTTATCAAATTATGTGTAATGCTCGAGAAAACGCCAACATAGACCTAAAATATGCTGTATGAAGCATGTAATAAATCATAATCCAGACTACTGTCTACAAATATAGCCTAGTAGAATTTTAGACGGTAAAAGGCGATCCGGAGGGTACGGGAAGAAGATAACCGAAAATTGTATCTAGACTGTTAAGAACGTGATTACTGTCTACGAATATAGCCTAGTAGAATTTTAGATGGTAAAAGGCGATCCGGGAGGGTAGGGAAGAAGATAACCGACGAAAATTTTATGTAGACTGTTAAGAACGTGATTGAGAGTGACCAACGTTACACAGTATTTTAAAAATATCGGCAGTTTTGGCTTTTAAAACAAAAGGAATATACTACACTAGTTTAATAGATTTAAGCTAGACCAGCAATGGTATATATACGTTTATGGTGAGTGGATAAGGTAATCCAAGCCGTATAGTATCAAACTCTGAGGGAAAATGTTAAGAAAATGAAAGCTGGCATTCTTTGTAATGTTCGTCACGTCGAAGATTTTACTGCACCGTGACTTCATGATATATATGTCCTGTTAAATCACTTAAAATTGATATCAACATACATTTTGATATGGAATTTTGAGGACCATATAAGTAAAGATTCTTTTATGTCATTTGTGACTTTTTGCCTGATTATGTCGTCATATACTTTTTCTGTGCAGCAAGTCCGCGTAATTTTTGAACGGCTCTCGTAATGTTAAAAAAAATATATATTAAAATAAATGTAAAATAACAACAAGGCTGTGCCCGCCTTATAGATAAACTCATCTACATAGATGTTACTGTATCTAGAGATAACTTTTCATGCGTCGTGGGTATTTAAATATCCTTCTCAAAGAGTATTTAAAATCTCTACCTTATTTTTTGATTATTGCCATGTTAAAATTAACATTATTTACAATTGTACATAATGTACATTGTACATTGATAACAGCGAACAACATTTTGATCTTGACATACTTCCTGATATCCATTCAAAAAAATCGATTAAACACATCATATGTGCATATAATTAAAGAACAAGTGGTAGAATTGAAGGGGTTAACATTGTCTTACCTTCCTTTCCTATGCTTGCGCCCATTCGTAAAGGATTCAGCAAATCTTTAGAAACAGCACAAACATCTCCATTGAAATTACACTCCAGATGAAAGAAACCCTCTCTAACATCTGTTTTGATTTCATGAATTGTAGTGGGAAACTTAGCTTCATTGATAGGCACTACACCTTTGCAAGAACAGTACAGAACGATACAAGGTTCCTTAGATATTTTCCCTTTTTTTATTCGATACGTTGAAGCCATTATCATCTCTAAGTTCGAATGCTTTTTGAGCAAATCTTTTGAATTTTCCTCCAGGTATTTTTCGATTTTTTTAAATTTATCAATCTGCTTTATTTGGAGATTTTGTTGCTCTTCCATTCCTAACGAAACTTCATCTGTATCTTCTTTCCAGTCTTTCCAAATAACCGCAATGTCTTTGTCACCGTTTCTAAATGTTCTCTCTTTTAAATCTTTCATTTTATCAATAACAGCAACAATGACTTCATCACCATGTTTAATATTTTCAATAGGAATATCTGCCTTTCCATAATAGAAATGAACAAGGTGTGATTCTTTGTATTTATCGCAAAACCATTTTTCAAATTTGCACAGTATATTGTCTTTATCATCCAGTTTTTCTGGAAAAAAGTTGAATAAAAAAAAATAGAGTTTTTAAAAATCATTTATTCTTACCGTACAGGAAAATTTAATTTTATGATATGCTATTTACAACTTTAAAAACAGTGCTTCACGTTTAGCAACGTTGGCGAAGACAACGACGCGCTAATTCATGAATGAAATATGAATATAATAAACAATTATCAATCTCAAACGTCCATTGAAACAGTACAAATTTTGAATAGAGCAAACACAGGCCTCGAAAAAGAACAGATGTAGCACCATGGTGAGTAAACATCCCCTTCCGCACGGCCACATCCGCCGTGCGCTCTTTATCATGATCAGAGAAATCCGTAGACAATTCAGTGTGATGAAAATTTGGACATCTATACCTGTAGCCCTAATTCATGCTTATGCCAACCAAGGTATACCAAGTCATAGCAAATTTTTCAAATATGTTTATTTATGTAAGCCTATAGTATCTATATATTTGAAAAGGAAAACAAAATAATAACTAGGTGCATGTGTTGCACTTAATACACTGACAGTCCTATCTCACACAAACAAAGAAATAAACATAAGACAAGATTGTTAGTAGCTTGGGTTTGCGACTAATAATTCAAATCAAAACAAAGTTGTAAACAATTCATAAGAGGTGCTCACCGTCGTTTGGTACATCTTAAACATCCGGAGAATTTCTTCAACAATGACTGAAATTTAAGTTTTCCTAGAATACTTTGATTTTTGCGTTATTCCTCTACATGTGCCGATATAATTGGGATTGATATTTTAAGCTCACTCAGCTGAATCTCAATTGAGCATTTTTGTTTATACTTTGTCCTCCGTCCTTCTGTAAACTTTTTTTTTTTTTTTTTTTTTTTTTTTTTTACATTTTCAGCTTCTTCTCAAGAACTACTGAACCGATTTCAACAAAACTTAAAACAAAGCATCCCCGAATAAAAGTGATTTTATCTGTAGATTTAAATTAGTTCAAAATGAAGGGTCAAGAGCTCTTCCAGGTGACGATATTTTAGAATTAGTGAATGAATTATTGACATCCATTAAAAATCTTCTACTAAATAAAACTGTGCCAGAAAAGTTGAAACTGATGTGAAAGCTTTATTAATAAGTGTGGATTCAAGTTTGTTCAGATCATGACATCCGTGGGAAGGGGAATGTTTTACATAGGAATATATAGAAAAAATTTCAATATCTTCCTCTCAAAAACTAATAAACTAAAAGAGTTGATACTTAGGCGAAAGCTTCATTATTTACATGTACATGTAAGGTACATTCAAAATTGTTCAAATCATGACCCCAAGGTGTGGGTTGAGATCACATCGGGAAATCAAATTTGAACATAGAAATATATTTGTTGTTTTGTTTGTTTGTTTGTTGTTTAACGTCCCTCTCGAGAATTTTTTACTCATATGGAGATGTCACCACTTGCCGGTGGAGGGCTGCAAATTTATACCTATACTCTGCACTCCGGGCCATTAAGCAGTTAGGGATCTTTTTCGTGCCAACCCATTTTGTGACATTGGAACTCGGTTAACATGTCTCATCCAAAGGACTGGTCAACGTCCCGCAGTGGATTGGAACCCGCGACGTAAGGATCAGTTCTTTACTTCGCGACTCTAGAGCAGAAACTCTAACCATTGCGCCACGCTGACGACCACAAAATATTTACAGAAAATCTTTGAAAATGTTCTCAAGAACAGCAGACCCATGACAGGTTTTGTATATATGAAAAAATTCAAATGTAGTGTAGATTCAAGTTTCTTCATGAACCTGGGGCTAGGGTGGGGCCACAATTGGCAATCAAAGTCTTACATAAGAATATATAAGAAAGGTCTTTAAAAATCTTCATAAGAACAGCAAAGCAATAACAGCAATAAGTCATATTTATATGGAAGCATTCTCATATATTGTCATGCGACATGTACCGATGGACGACAATATGTGCAGTGAATGTAGATAAATATTGTCGCCGGTGACAATTTGAACAGTGTACAGTCACGATTGCTCTGCATTAAATTGCATACGAGACACCTCAGTATGATTTTCAAACCAATTATAATCACAAAACTATCATAAAACCTTCAAAAGCATCTTTAAACAACAATATTGTAGGGCGACAATATTTGCAGTGAGTGTAGGCACATAATGTTGCCAGCGACAATATGTACATATATAACTTTTCAGGCGGCGACAATATGTATCGATAGACATCAATATGTGCAGTGAGTGAAGGTTCATATTGTCGCCCAAGACAACATGTGCAGTACAAAGCGACAATACCGTAACAGGTGGTCTGAAAAAAAAGCACATTTAAGGACAGGAGATACATTTTTTTTCTTAAAAAAAAAAAACAGGAAAAACAACTTTAGTCAAGTTTTATAAAAGTAAAATTAATAGGTTTAACCACCTGGATTTTAAATTTTCATTCAAAATTTCACGATAATGTCCTATACACATGTAAATGTACTGGTAAAACGTTTGTATAGATTTATTATTGTGATTACAGAAAGGTAGAATTTTGAACATCAAAGAAAGTTTACAATATCTTAATATTTTTAGAAAATTTATGTATTTCTTTTCTTCCTGTGTTATTTCTTTATCTCTAATAAATTAATGTATTAAATGAATATTTATCACTGAAAGATAGTTGAGTAAAAATGTATTTCTTTGAATCATGGGGAAGTTTAGTCATTTTACTGTATATAACTAACTCTTTAAAATAAATGTATACTACCACACCTGCTTCAATCCTAGTTTTTTTCGTCCCTCTCGGCTCCAAAAAACGTGTTTTCGTTTACCTAAGCCCAGGTAATATCCCCCCATCCCTCGAGGTCCGGAAAATTGTGTTTTGTGTTCACCAATTGTTGCCATTTTTTCTGATAAAAAAAAGTTTCTAATTTGCAGTATAATCTAGTGAAAGGTTGCTTTCAAATAAGGAAATGGGGAAGTTTAGTCACTTTACTGTATATAACTAACTCTTTAAAATAAATGTATACTACCACACCTGCTTCAATCCTAGTTTTTTTCGTCCCTCTCGGCTCCAAAAAACGTGTTTTTCGTTTACCTAAGCCCAGGTAATATCCCCCCATCATTCGAGGTCCGGAAAAATGTGTTTTGTGTTCACCAATTGTTGCCATTTTTTCTGATAAAAAAAAAAGTTTCTAATTTGCAGTATAATCTAGTGAAAGGTTGCTTTCAAATAAGGAAATGGGGAAGTTTAGTCACTTTACTGTATATAACTAACTCTTTAAAATAAATGTATACTACCACACCTGCTTCAATCCTAGTTTTTTTCGTCCCTCTCGGCTCCAAAAAACGTGTTTTTCGTTTACCTAAGCCCAGGTAATGTCCCCCCATCACTCGAGGTCCGGAAAAATGTGTTTTGTGTTCACCAATTGTTGCCATTTTTTCTGATAAAAAAAAAAAAGAAGAAGTTTCTAATTTGTAGTGTAATCTAGTGAAAGTTTGCTTTCACATATTACATGCATATGAATATTCTATAACTTGTACCTTTAAAAACATTTATTATTATTATTATTATCATTATTTTTTTGAGTTATACAGCTGTTATAATATTTGTGATGTACGTCTACACGTAGAGCTTTTACTTTTGGCAGTTTCTATTTTGCTTATTGTAAAGTAATTAAAAAAAAACAAATCAATTGTTTATTACACAGTTTGTCAAAATGACATAAATATAAGCAAATTTGTTTGTTTCTTCATATGTGAAGAATCAATTCATTCGCAGGAATATACATGTGTATACATGTACATTTTTTCTATTATCCCAAGAATTCTGATTTTTTGGAACTGATATGCAAATCCCAAAATACCACAAAATCATGTTTTAAATGTAAACACTGGATTTAATATAGTATACATATTTTAATGCAGTTGTAATAGAAAGAGTTTTAAAAAATCAACAAATGCTTGGGTTTCATTGAAGTTAAAAAAAAAAAATCAAGCATGCAAGATGCACATTTCCCCCTTAAGGATGAAGTTTAATCAGAGGACAAAAAAAAAAAAAATCCACTGACAAAAATGAAAACCCACCTATTTACGTTGTAGAGCTACGATTGTAGCGATGTTATTCACGTTCAAATAACTAGGCCAATAGCCTATTTTTTATGATAGTAGCCCCTGAGCATTTATCAGGAAATACCTAAATTTTTCATGTTGCATTCAATATTTTCTTAATCAATAAAATATAACATGTGAGAAATATCCTCAGTCAGGTTTCCAATTTTAACACATCTTTAATTTATTACCAGGAAAATATTGAATGATAAGATCTCTAAATTATTTCTGACTTCGGTTCACTTGCTCTTTTTCACTGGTATAAAAATTTTATCAGGTCAAGGATAAAAATCTCTAGATATGTTTTCTGGAATGTGTTTCGCTTGTATTTTTGATGTTCTTTCTTGCATGCCATTTAATTATTTGAAACAATACATAAGCTATACGACACCTTATATTTTCGAATGGTGGGAGCAGACACAAAAATCTTAACTTTCAGAATATAATTGCAAAAAAAGGAAGAAGTGGAAAATATGAAAAAATAAAAGTTAGTCCAAATTTCCTCTGCAACCCAAAAATTTACCAATGATGTTACATATTTTCTTCAAGTGGTTAGAAATTAAAGATCTAGGTTCACTTTATGCATAAAATGGCCCTGTAGATATACCAATGTATTGACTAACACCTTTGTTCCATTTCAAACATCAAGATAAAGTAGAGATTTAGTGCTTTCATTTCCTGTTAAATGTTTTCTCCTTAAAGTCCAGGTCTTGGAAAACAAGCTTTATGGAATTGCAATGTTCTTGAATTTTATGGAAAACAGGTATATTTAAGTACTTTCGGAGAAGAAAAATAATATGAGCGCAACCTCTGATCTAAAAAATAAAACATGTTTTGTAATCCTAAGAAACGGTTCTATCAATAAATAATTGCATATTTTAGATCAGAGATTGCGCTCTATATTAAATATCGAAAAATAGCTTTAAAAATTGGCTGTTTTTGTAGAACTGTTCAGGATATAAGGAAAATAACACATTGCATGAATAATGAATAATAATGCATTGACTAGCCAGAAAATTACGTCATTTTTGGTAGAATCGCAATCGCCAAAGGTCTAAATGAAATGTAATGCATGCGCAACTAAAACTAAGCAGTTTCAGTTTTTCAGAAATTCACAGGGCCAAAAAAGCCCTAAATGAACCTAATTCTTTAACATTCATATTTTTATTACAATATTATTTTTGCTCATTTGAAGCAATTTTTGTTTAAAGATATTGTACTTTTTAACGATCCGTTTGTGTCAACTAAAATCCTGAGTAAGAGTCATCCTCAAAAGGTAAAAATGCAATACGGAAATAACGAAAAGTATTCAACCTCAAAATTCCATTCAAACAATAAAAAAAGCAGAGCAAACACAGACCTCTTAAACATCAGAGGTGGGATCAGGTGCCAAGAAGGAGTGAGCGTCCCCTGCCGACCGGTCACACCCGTCATGATAGGAAAAAAAAGAAAATCCGTAGACAATTCAGTGTGTAAATAATGGCCTAACAATTAGTTTGAAAAACGTCAGTAACCATTTGACTTAATGATAGATTGTATTTGATGATAAAGTCACTGCATCGACCATAGAACATGCGAATGAATGACTTTAAACGAAACTGTTGATATTCTCGTTTCATTAACTTGTTTGTCAATAGCTTGCTTCGTTTCAGAAATTGCCTGTACGTAGAACATGCTCTTGCGTATCGAATCAACTGAGAGACATCAACCCCATATGCAGGGATTAAGGCTATATTGCCTCAGTAAGAGGAGTTGACGATTGTAAAGATGAAGTCATCATGTTTACCATAAAGCGTAGTTGTTAAGTTACCTTAAAGATGTTTTCTAGTAAAACATCTAAATATAAAAAAAGAGATGTGTCAGACTCTGTGGTATTTTTTTATTTTAAGCTCACTGTGAAAGTGAAAAGTCCAACAAAACCTTTGCGGAAGCGAATTTCTATTTGTAAAATTCTGTAAAACATCTCTTGGCCATGAGAAGCGCTGCTACAATCCTACTCTACTATCATAAAAATAATTATTTCACACTTTCGCACAAAACCTTTCCATTTTTTTTATTTTCATTCAAAGTATTTTCATCACTTCACCATAACTGCATGATTCTAACAGCACTTCTCATGTACCAAAGTACACAAAATATCGGTATCAACAAAAATTATGTTTAGAAGTATGTGGTGTAGAAGTATGGTTACATTTGCATTTTTGTTAAGAAGAACGGCTCAGAAAAAGATTGAACGGGATTTTAAAACTCTGCATGTTTTCACAAAAACGTTTTATTTTCACTCGACGAATATTTCATTAACAGTTATGACTTCATGGACCAGGTATTTACCATAATTGTGACAATACTTCGTTATATGTCAAAATTTAATCATATGATGTTTTCTCTGTTTCCATTTAAATTGATTCCAAAATATCTATTATTTCCATGCTCACATTTGCAAACAATTTTTAAAATAAAAAATAGAATTCTAGATTTCTAAAACCCATAATCATATAGGTATATATATATATATATATATATATATATATATATATATATATATATATATATATATATATATATATATATATATATATATATATATATATATATATATATATATATATATATATATATATATATTCAGGGTTGTATTAAAAACACCAGACACATGTTAATCAACCTGAAATAAAAAAAAATAGCTCTAGGCAAAAAGAATAAATTTCTTTGTTTCAGCATATGTGTTTAGATATTGTCTAAATACCTGCCAAATATTTCATTGATATATCAATTAAGGAAAAAAAGATATGCCCAAAAATGATGCTAAAAATGTCAGGAGTGCAACACCTTTTTGTGACATGTTGAAAATTCAATACATTAGAGGATCTGTGAAATAAATATTATGGTTTATGTTGGAAATATAGACTTTCCTGATAATATTCAAAGTATTGACCTTTAATTGTAGACTGTTGTAACTTTTGTTTGATGAAATTGTGGCTATGGATGATGTTGAAAAAAAAAGACGTTGTACCATGTCAACAGAAAAAGCAAAGTGTTACCAAATAAAACGTCTGTAAAATCTGTAAGACAATTAAGTCAAAAAAAAAATTCTCAGAGTGTAAAACAATAACTGATATACCATTTAAAATATAAAAAAAAATGTTATATAAATTACAAGCAGCAATAAGGAGAGTCAAGTATCAATGCAGACCCAATCATGTCAGGAGTGCAACATTTGATGTTTTGCTCCCCAGCACGGAAATAAACTTTTTTTAATGTATGATACTCTAATTTCTATTTTGAAAGGTAAAGACACAAAGAACATTTTTACCAAATAGATTTATAAATTTCAGGGTCTGTCTGCGTTTTAGATCTATATTTCTATGGTCAGGAGGTCGACACATTTTTTTTTGTAAGATTCAAGTTATATGATGAAAGGGCTTGTTTTCATACTAATACACATTCTTTAATTGATAAAACTGTACATCACTTAATTTTTGCGACACCTTATTTTCGAGAGATAGTCAATGTCTCTCTATTAGGAGACAAATGAAGTGTGTTTATTGCTCTTTATAATCATAAGGATTTCTATTATACGCGAAAATGAAATATTCGCGAGCACACTGTCTCTAGTAATTCCGCGTAAAAATTTACATTCGGTGTAATTTTCTTTATAAAATCCAATAGAAATCTACGACCTTCAAAACTCTATAACACACGCGAAACACTGTCACCGCGCGGTCGAATACACAGTAGGAACTTTATTCATTTTCAATATCTAGGAGCACCAAAATGTATATTGTTCTGACTCAATTTAATATAAAAAAAACAACTAGCCTTTTAAATTCACGTAAAATACTGTTCACAACAATCTGTGTTTAAAATTCATTTGTGATTTTTTTCCTCGCGATGTTTATTTGCGTTATCTAACTTTCCAACGTCACAAACGGCTCTTACGTCTATTAAGCACACCAGTTCTGAAGGGCGCTATATTCATAATAAAGATTAACGCAATAAACAATCATGGAGAGAGAAAATTAGAGATTGTAAATGTAAACATTGAATTCTTATTTTTCGATATCGTCGGTCTAATAACACACCTGGCCGTGCCGACAAATTTTCATACCGCGATAAAGCGCGGTATTCAATCTGCCGGCATTGCAAGGTGTGTTACAGGACCGACGACTTCCTAAAATAAGAATTCTATGCTTAAAAATAAAATGTGATTTACAGTAATTAAGTACTAGATTATTAACAATTTTATCATTAAAATTTGTTTCTTTTTCAGTCTTATCAATTCATATCTGTTTTTATCTTTTCCCTGATTTTTTGTGAATATAAAAAAT